ATTTTTGTCGGTCTGCGTGGGGAAAAGTTACAAATCACACATTTCCCAAGCCACCAGTCATGTTCAGGGTCAGACATGTGTACCATCTGATAGCCCTCGTTGAGGCGCATCTTTTGCACCTGTCACATCTCTGGTACCATGTGACATGACTTCACAAAACACCGGTATCCGAAAACCCCCTCAGGACGGTTTGTTCTCCAGGAGCTTTCCAGGGTCCTGTTTGAGTACCCTAATTGCATAATCTATTATTTAGGGTGTTCAAACAGGACCCTGGAAAGCTCCTGGAGAACAAACCGTCCTGAGGGGGTTTTCGGATACCGGTGTTTTGTGAAGTCATGTCACATGGTACCAGAGATGTGACAGGTGCAAAAGATGCGCCTCAACGAGGGCTATCAGATGGTACACATGTCTGACCCTGAACATGACTGGTGGCTTGGGAAATGTGTGATTTGTAACTTTTGCCCCCCCAGACCGACAAAAATCCATACCGGCTCGGGTCGGGTACTTACATACGGATATCTCGGTGATTACACGTGGTACAAAACTGAAAGTATATGTAATCGAGAGCCCTGATCAAGGCGCTTCGCCTACCACCGAGAAATCCATGTTAACCCACCTCTCCTCGGGGCAAATAGTGAAAGTGTGAGGGCCGGGGCCGGAATGGATCGAGGACGGTTTGTTCTCCAGGAGCTTTCCGGGGTCCTGTTCAAACCTCGAAATCAATTCATGCAAGTTTTGTGCAAGTTCTGTGCAAGATATGAATAGAACTTGCACGGATCTTGCACAAAACTTGCAAGAGTCGGTCTCGCACGGTTTTTGCACGGTTTGGAACACAATAACTCGGGTTGTCAAAAAAATTACTGTGCAAGATTAGTGCAAAAAATCTTGCACGGATCTTGCACGGATCTTGCACAGGTTTGAACACCCTAATTTTATGAAGCCAATTTTCAAATCTGAAATTCAATTTTCAAAGCAAAAATCAATTGATGTTGTTTGTTCTTGTTTGGTGTTTCATCAAACTTGACTACATATCAATCAAAATCTACTATCATCTTGATTTTTGATGGGTCAAGTCGTTTAGAGATCAACACAACTTGGCTATTGATCCATTGATGACTCGATAGAATACTAATGGGTTAATGGAGTTAATCAGTAGTGAAATGATCACTTGGTCCAAGTCTGAACTCCTCAGTCTATATGTTCACCAAGAAACAGGTGATGTTGTTTCTATCTATCACCAGGAATTGAGTGAAAGACAAAAGTCAAATTGATGATTGTGAAGGTCAAGTTATTACAAAATGAGAGTTGAACTTGTAAGGATCACAGTCGTTAGCAAAGATCGAAGTCGCGTTACAAGAATTGAAGATATACAAATCAGACTAAAGTTGATAAACATGAACATTTGAAGTTTCTTGCGTGATGGAAAAAGAATCGTTTGCAGTTGTCAAGATTTTGATCGGAAGTCGTCTTGAATCTTGATGCGACAGAGCCCCGAGTTTTGAGGCTTTCCCGGGTTGATAATGGATTATTGAGACTTGAAAGCTGGTCTGGAGAAGCTTTCAAAATGATCAAAAATAATAGATTATCGACTGAAAAATGGCTTTCAAGAAGAGGGGCAATGGAGGGCAAAAGCGATAACAAACGAGTTTTTTTGAAAAAGTGTAAAATAGATTATTTTCAAAAAATACTACATTTCTTCCAGTTTTTGTAAGCCATACCAAACGGGGCCTTAACCCGACGATTGCGGATGCTCTTAAGATTTGAAGCAGGTTTTTAAATGTATTTTCATCTTAAGAGGGATTCATCGGTTTCAATTTGTGTTCGTTTCTTAGTTTTCAAATGTCTCTCAAAAGGAAACGAGATCTTCAAGTGCACAAAATCAATCGATGCACAGTCTTGTTTTGTATCCTTTTTGAGATTTCTTCAGTCTCATTTGACTTGGTGTTAAGCTGTAAATATGTACCTTTTTCAATTGAAATGATTGTTGTTAATCTTGTTTTGAGTTTTTAAAACGATCGTTGTTGATCTCGTTTGATTTGTCAATTTCAGACCGCTTTTCAAACTAATGAGATCATTGTTTCCGAACCAATCTCTTTGAAAACCATGTTAGTTACCTACTTGAAAGCTGTGCTCTTCATGTTGACTGTCTTTGTGATTTGCCTGAAAACCGACTTCACGAAGAAGTTGAACATTAATTGAACTCCTCAGAAATTTGATTTCAATTCTCTAATCGACTCAAACATCTTTTCTCAATAGATGTTCAAGTCGATTAGAGAAAAATGTTGTATCTCAAATGTCTGATCGACTCGAGGATTCAAGGTGAGAGTAGTGAATCGTGATGAGATGAAGTAGCTGATGGTGATGTGATTTGGTGCTGAGGTGAGTAGGGATGAGGGGTGAGCTGGTGGAGTTGGGTTGTGTTCACGGGGTTTCTGGCATTCTGGAAGTGTGGTGCATTCAAATTTGCTGAATGCCAGAACGCCAGAACACACCAAAAAAAAAACTTCTGGCGTTCTGGAAAAAACCTTCTGGAAATTCCCGGAACATATTTGTATACCCTAAGAGCATCACCACCGTTGCCGGGCAAATAAGCCATCTGTACGATGACAGTCTGACAGGTCACAACATGTACAGCCAATTTACACGGCAAACGACCAAATTGTTGCCGTGCAAACACGAGACAGTACAAAATAATTTGTGACCGAAAGGGCGTAGCGAGAGATTGTGCCAAGTTTTGCTTTTGACTGATATGATGTCAGTGTTTTGAAAATGATCAGTCGATCATTTTCTGATCTTATCGAGACTTCCATCCATTTGACCAACATGCCGGGACATCCAGATCACCACCCTCTTGCTTTGAACAACCTACTGTCGATATGTACACAAACAAATAATCGAATGCAAACTATTGTTGACGCTGGCCATGTGACCACGTCTGTAGCTCGTCACACCATCATTACGCAAAGTCATAACAAGCGTCGAGGCAGAGGTTCTTAGCCAGGCAAATCTCGCAATATCGAACGCAACCGCGAAGAAGGTCATGAAAAGTTGATGAATGACTACTTTGTTCGAAACCCTCGTTACAAGGACTACTTGTTTTGTCGTCGATACAGGATGGGACGCAATTTATTCCTGCGCGTTGTGGAAGGAGTCACATCTGAGGACCCCTACTTTGTCCAAAGGCGCGATGCGTGCGGCAGGCTTGGCCTTAGTTCTTTACAGAAGTGCACGGCTGCTATCAGGATGTTAGCTTACGGTACTCCAGCCGACATGAACGATGAAAACCTGCGTCTTGCCCAGTCAACCTCAATGGAGAGCATGTATCGATTTTGTGAAGCTGTTGTGTCGCGATTTGGTGGTGAATACCTTCGAGAACCTAACACCGAGGACACCGCTAGACTATTGGAGGAAAACAAAGAACGTGGTTTTCCAGGCATGCTTGGATCTCTGGATTGCATGCACTGGCGTTGGAAGAACTGCCCAAAGGCTAACAGCGGTCAATATAAAGGGAAAGAAGGAGGCCCCACGATTGTGTTGGAAGCCGTGGCGTCCAAGGATCGTTGGATCTGGCACGCATTCTTTGGAGTGCCTGGTTCTAACAACGACCTCAATGTACTGAATCATTCACCGTTATTCGAACGTCTCTGCCGAGGTGAATCACCTGAGTGTAAATTCGAGATCAATGGGCACCAATATGACAAAGGTTACTATCTGGGCGATGGAATCTATCCCCAGTGGTCTACAATTGTCACAACTATCTCAAGTCCACAAGACGAGAAGAAAAGGGTATTTAATCTTTCACTCTTGACTCCACCTCACGAATAAAATTACTGATTTCTTGTTGGTTATTATCTACTCAAAGTGGTTTGCGAAATTGCAAGAATCGATTCGAAAAGATGTGGAATGTGCGTTTGGCATTTTACAAGCGCGTGTTGCAATCGTGGGTGGCCCTGCTCGTATGTGGAGTCCTAAGAAATTGAAGACTATCATGTTGGCCTGCGTCATCCTCAACAACATGGTAGTTGAGGATGAGCGCGGTGGGGAACCACATGAGGTAATTCCTCTGGTTGAGTTAGCTGAGGTTCTACATCCAGCCAACGATATGGCCCCATATCAACAATATCTACAAATTCAACGGGAAGTCGAAGACCATCAGTTACATCAGCAACTTCAAAACGATCTGGTTGAACATCTATGGAACATACGAGGTAGAGCTCCCGCTGCGATTGCAAGACCAGCACCAGCAGTATAATGCTGTACTTTAATTTATTCTATCTTTTCCGTTTTTCCTATTCTGTTCAATGTGTGTCATATTTGTGTGGTCTTATGTTATCTTTCTCATGTTATTATCATGTCATGTTCATAACACTCTTTGTGTTTGTTCAGCGAGTGCTCTCAGCGTGTAGTGATGCCATGTGTTTTGTTTGTTCCTTCCAATACAACATTTCGGTAACTTCAGTGTTGCTATCTAACAATCAAATCCAGGCAAACAGTATTAACAAGAAATGAAAAGGACAAGTATAGATCGAACATTGATCAATAACAATGATCATACAATGATAGGACAAAGCTGCTTAAAGGGCATTGACCCAAAACTGAAGCCATGCCCATTTGGCTTCATCATCAAACACATTTACAAATTCCGCTCCTAAACCCCCTTCTCGTAGAACTTGCGCTGCTGATTCCTTCTCACCTGGTTGTTGCAAGTACGGTCCGTTGTAGTTGTAAACTTGGCCGAGAGCTTCTCGCAGGATCCTAAAATCCTCTCTTCGCTTACTTTGAATCACATTGATAATGCGACGGATTTCTTCCTTGGCTCGTTGTTTGCGTTGGTATTGTGCTAGGCGTTCGATCTCTCGCTGAGCGCGAGGGCTGAGAATCAAATTGCGATTTTGGGCTTGGTTGCGTCGTTCCGCACGCCAGGTTCGCGGGCTGATGATGATGACATCTGGAGAGGAGTCCCGATGGTTGCCTGTGTTTGAGAAAGATTAGGGTTATATTTGGTTGATATTCGTATGTTCAAAAGAAGTGCTTCGCTCACCTTGCCTGTTAGGAGTGCGTAATCGGGGATTGAATCGATTGGTGACTTCACGTCCATTAGTCTGATTAGCCCGGTTGATTTGTAGAAACTCCCTCGGCGACAAACCACTTCGAAAGGTGGAACCTATCCAAGTAACTGCAAATTGAACCATTTTTGTTGAATTAAGCGAGGTGTAACATGCGCAAAAAATCAACGTGACCCACCTTCAGGCAAACTAGGAATGGCTATAACCTCGGAATGGCTGCTTGAATTTGACATTGTGTTAATGATATACGTGGAGTACGAAATAAGTGAAACAGGTTAGGATTAAAGAAACAGGTCTATAGACAAGTATATACACTGGGTTGAATCGAGGCAGATGCTTGGTATAGGTGTTGGGCAAGCGACTGAGTGCGAATGAGTGCAGAAAGAAGGATTACACAGCAAATTTATAGCACATTTGAACCATTGCAGCACCCAATCAAAGAACTCAATTCCAATCATAGCTAAATGAAATACGCAATGAAATGCTAGTCATAGCAACTGAGAAGGATGAAGCTCACGTCTTCGGCGACATATCAAACACCATCTTGGGCTGCAAAAGCTGCGTCCTGCACCTTTCTGGCTCGCAGCTCACAGAAAAATATGATATACCTCATTTGTACAAGGATGATAGCGGCGGAAGACCCTAGTTTGAAAGCAGCAAATCAATATAATTATACACATGTGAAATCTTTAATCAATATATACATCAAAATATAATTTTTTTGGTTGAACACGTAGTAAGTTGCAAGACTTATATACAGAGCATAAACAGTTTACAAAGAAATAGAACAATATCAAGTAAAGAGGTGAGGAAGTGTACACTACAAAGTTGAAAAGAAATTGATACAACAAACTACTCTGGACTGTGGCGATTCATATCGGCCATTCGCTTCTTGAGAATCTCAGCCTGTCTCAATTGATAAAACAACCTAATTTCCCCTTGAAGTGAGCTAAGATCGGTCTTGAGTACCACATCGTCAGTGAGAAAATTGACTGCTGCAGCTTGAACTCATGAATCCAAAGCGATGGAGCCACTAGCCGCCGCGATTGACTTCGCGCTCTCGGCCAGCTGAGAAAGGATAGCATCCACGTGCTTCGTCCGTTTGGCATACTTGTTGCCCATAGGGCAATCATGGTTGTCGGAGGAGATTACCTCAATGTCAGAATCATCGATATCAGTCTGAGAGCCAGATGTGGACCGGATTGAAATAACTGAAGGAGATGGTTTGGGTGGAGTTTGATTGGTCCGTCTAGCAAGGTCAATGTTGTAGTCAGCCCATTTCGGCGCGGTTGATAGGAGGTTATGACATCGAACATGTTTGAAGACATGTTTCTCTCGTTGTAAGTACATTTCATGTGCGTCGGCTGTGATGTCATGGGCGGATTTGCCACTACCGTGAAAATTCTTCACTTTGGAGAGATAGCCCACATACTTGTTGATCATTCGGTTCATAGGGCGCCAACGACATTGCAGAGACTCTTCGCTTCGTTCAATGTAGTCTTCAGGGTCGGTTTTGAGTAACATTTGCTTTTTGAAATCGGCAGCAATTCGTATCCACATGGACGTGGAGCTCTGTCCATTTCCGATTATTGAATCTTGTGAGATGTTCAGCCAAGATTGGCACAGCTGAAGGTCCTTGTCAGGGGTAAAGTTGGCCTTGCGACCAGTGGTTTGTTCAGATTCGGCTTCGTTGGATGCTGGAACGGCTGAAGTCTGGGTAGCCGACGCCTTGCCCTTTGATCGAGAGGTTGATGCCTTGCGCTTCAAGCCAGCAGAAGAACTCGAAGAAGGTGGTTTGGAAGCCGGTTCCGGGACAGGTGAGCTGTCTATAATAACAATGGGTGGGGGAGGAAGGACAGGATCAGGCTGAGGATGTTCCGGCAGGGTAAGCCACTGGGCCGGCGGAGTGGAGCGAGATACGGGAGGAATCATTGGATTTCTGACCCCTAAAAAAGCAACGGGGACAAGTAAGCAGCCACCACCTAAGGACATAAGTCAGATCAGTACATACCCAAGCTGCCATCTGACCCGAAATGGCTATTTGGAGGACCCATTAACCCATGGTTTGGGCGCCCGTGGTGATGAATGTTGTTGGATGATATACCAGGATTGATCGCACCATGCATGATCGGAGCTCGCTGAACAGAACGGTAGATATAGGCCTGTTGGTGATCATTGAAGGCTGACATACAAGGTTTGAACACGTTAGATCGGAAATGATATCGAGAAAAGAATAACTTACGCTGGTCCACTCCAGAATGGGTGTCCGGGTGACGATGATCAGGCCGGTAGTGATAGACTTGTTGATGATCATGGATGGCTGATCATCACACCGCACATTGAGTAAATCACGTTAGATCGTCTCGTCGTTATGTAAGGTCAGATACGGGGAAAGGCTCACGCTCAGAATCATGTCTGTTATTCATATCAAAGTGGTCACACGACAAGGACGACAAGAAAGAGTAGCAGGATAAGGGTATGAAGAATAAAAGAGAGGAACACTGTATAGAGATAGCTAGCCAACCGGTTGATGTCTGAAACTGGAGGTAGTGAAAGAGAAGAAGAACAAACAAAGGGAGAACAGAGAGGTGACACGCCAAATATAAGGAGGGGAACAGAAACGGCACAGTATTTATGTGAGTCAAAGGTGCACAGAGACGCGCTTGATGAGAGGTCAGCAAGGGTTTACTACATGAAATATGTTCAAAACTTCGACAAATGTGTAGGATGTTGGTGCGGTGACGGAAAGAAAAGAGGTTCATCAATCAAAATATCAAAGCGCGTTGGCCTGAAGCGAAAAGCCGTGATCGGAAGATAGTTGATAGTGATCGTAATGCCTTGCAGAGCTGGAAGTGAGAAGTGACTGATGATAGTGGAGTGATAGGCCCAAGATGACAACGACAGGAGTAAGAAGAAAGGTACGAAAGAGGTGGCCAAAGGTCAAAAGGTACGTACAAAATGGGGCTATTCGGTGTTTTAGACGGAGTGTAGTCCTATACTCTCCCGGTCGAAATTTGGACGGAGTGTAACCCATACAGGCGGGTTACACGGTCCAGTGGCTCGTATGTTTTCCCACACGCCGTGTAAATTGGCTGTATTTGCCTATTTACACGGCCCGGTGGTGATGCTCTAAATGTACATAAAAGAAATGTGTTCAGCAAGGTTCAGGCTCAGCAAGGTTCAGCATATGTTGAACTTGAGGCAAACCCCGAAAGAAAGACCCGAGCATGTCGCTGTCGGGTGAAGCTCTGCACCGGGCTTTCTGACCTATCCGGACCCCGTATCCCGCAGAGTCCACGGGTCATTACTCAACTTTCGCCCGAATTTGATTCGATATCTCTTCTTAAAACCTTCACTCTATTTGTAATCCAAGTTCAAATCATTTTCAATTAAAAATAATTTCTCAAAGATGCGTAGAGGAAGAAAACCAAAATCACAATCCATAGGAACTCATCAAGACGATCGAAGGAATCATAGTGGAAAGTTTCATCTCGGTGGTACTTCTACTAGACCTTTGATTACTTTTACTGATACTAAAAGACCTATGATTTTGGAGGATAAACCTCATGTTAATTTTCCTTTGGAATTAAGTTCCACTACAACTTCAGAAACAACTAGGAATTCAGAAACGACTAGGAATTCAGAAATGACTATGGATTCGAATTTAGAAACGAATCATAAGGCTTTTATTGAAGAAATTGATAATGATACGAAACTTGAAGATGATCGGGTTTATTGTATTTGTAAACGGGTGTATGATGGACGTACGATGATTGCTTGTGATCGGTTAGTGTTCTTTATGATACATTTTGAGATACTTATTGATAATTTATTTTGTTAAATGAAATCGAATTAGATGTGATGATTGGTATCATAATGATTGTGTGGGGATAAATGATGAATTAGTAGAATTAGTAGATGTGTTTATTTGTCCAAGTTGTGAACCAGGTGAAGATCTCAAAGCTAAACCCTAAAATACAAGAAATTCTGAAAAGTCTGATAACTAAAATTGTTTTTTTTGTTTTTGAATAGGAGTCCAAAGAAACACTACATGGAAAGCTCAATGTGCTAGACCAGGTTGTCATTCAGGATCGCGTAGATTATCAAAGTATTGTACAGATTGGTGTGGATTGAAGACCGTGTCGAATCGACTTGAAGCAAGCATGATTGATCCAGTAGATTTTTGGGAATCAGTACGAAGTGTTAAACGGCCTCAGGCAGTGATCCAAATAGATGATCAAGAAGAAGAAGCAGAAGAAACGGAGTTCCACCAAAATGGATTACTGAACCGACTACGAAACGAACTAGAGACAATCCTAGATCGAACATCCAAACTTGATTCACAAATCCGAATCGTGAGTAGTCGATCTAGGTACTTAAAATTCACGATCGATCGGTGGCAAAAGATGTGTATAGAGACCGCTCGAGCATTAGCATCAGAAGACTTACGAGCCGAAGAGTTTGATGAAGAATCGGGTGGGATCCATCTGGCGATTGTTGAGAAACCTACAAAGAAACCAGCTGGGAAAGGGAAAGCTAAAGGCAGAGTGGCGTTTAAGAAACCGTTGAATGGGTTGGATTCCGCTACTGGTAGTAATGAGGCGCCTTGTGGGTTTGATGTGAGGTTGGTATGGGATGATCGAGATTGTGAGTGGTAAGTCTTTGATATTCGAGTGGTTTCTAAAAAGACGATAAAAAGATTGAAAATAGATGAATGGATGATGGTTTAAAAGGGATCCCATGGTCATCTTCAGAACAATTCTCGTCAATGGTCTTGGGTCCCGGTTTAGAATCTAATGGAACACATCATCAAGAAGAAACGTTGGGATCAATAGAAGATTTGAAAGTTAAACAAGATCTTGATCAAGTCGTTTCAGAAGGAATGGTTTGTTTGATCATGAAGAAAAAGTGTGATCGACATATGGGATGGCAAAAGACGAAAGAAAATGATTTTGAAACTGAATTGGGTACATTAGTTAAGTATACCCACATCATCTTTTATTAATATATTGCAAAAATCTGTCATTCTGATATTGTTTGATTTGGATTTTGGATCAGACAAGAAGTGTTGAAAAACTAAGGTTTGAAGAAAGAAAGATTAGAGAAAGGATCGAAGAAGAAGAACAATTGGATCAGTTTAGGATGATGAAAAAGATGAATCCTAAACGGTTTGATGAACTTGATCATGAAGCTGAACTGATGAGAAATCAATCTACAAGAGATTTGATGAGTAAAAAGAAATCTGTTGGTAAGAAGAAAAAGAATCAAAAGATGTAGAGTTTGAATGAATGAATGATCTGAGGGGTGAAAATGAACATGGGGGTGTTGGTTTGATGGAGATATAGTTTTTCGTGTTTTTAGTTTGTGTAGATCATTGTTTATTTTTGGAATTGAGATGTTGGTTTTGATCAAATTTGTTATAAATAGAAACTGGCTTGAATGTCTTGATTTGATCTTTGCTTGAGGTGAGGAATATTGAAGTTTATGAAAGTTTGAATTCCAAGATTCAAAGTATAGCTGTGATGATGATGTATGATTTTCTGAGGATGAGATATGTTTATAAGGAGTGAAGTGAGTATTTTAGGAGTGAATTTTCTTTTGACCCGTTGTATTCTTCCATAAAGAGTGTTCGGGTATAAGTGTATTTGAATCCAAATGGTTTGAGCATTCCATTGTTTACAAATTCTTGTCGTAGTAGTAGTAGTCATAGTAGTGAGTCATGACATCTTCTTCATCTTCTTCAATCAAATCAAGAAACTCAATCAATCAAGACTCAACAATCTTTCAACCAACTCATAAACTATCTAGATCAACTTCTTTATCTTCAAATCATTCTCATTCTCAATCAAGACCTCATTCACCTATCAAATCAATCTCTTCTCCTTTAATCATTCATCGAAATCAAAAACATTCAATCATCAAATCTTCTAATCAAATCGATCCTGGACTACTACAACCTATTAAAGAAATCAATTTGACTAAACCATCATCTGATCTTCAAAAAGAATCAATTTCAGTTTGTATTAGATTAAGACCATTACCTACTTCTTCTTTATCTGATATCGATCTAGACACTCCACCTCCCAATAGATTTCATTCAAATGATACTTCAAATCAATTCGGTCCTTGGTTAATCAATCCTTCTACTTCTCAAATCTCTCTTTCTTCTTCTCATCCGATCATCGATAAAAGAGGTACAGGTACATCAGAATCTATCAATGGTTCAGAAGGTTATGAATTCAGATTCGATTCGGTTTATAATCCTTATAACTCAACTCAAGATCTATACCGTGGAAATGTGAAGGAAGTCATCAAGAGTTGTGTAAGAGATGGTTATAATGTTACAGTCTTTGCTTATGGTCAAACAGGTAGTGGTAAAACTTTTACAATGATGGGATCATCTCAAGAAGATGAAAATAAAGGAATCGTACCTAGATCGATTGAAGAAGTCTTTCAAACTATCTCTCAAGAAGATCAAAATCGTGAATATCTATTAAGAGTTTCTTATCTTGAGATTTATAATGAAACTTTAAAAGATCTTTTGTTAGATCATGATCCTAGTACAAATCCCATCACACCTTCTAAACTCACCATACATGAAAATCATAAAGGTAGAGTTTATGTCAATGGATTACGTGAAGAAGTCGTCACTGATCCTTTACAGGTCATCAATACTTTACAAAAAGGTGAAAAGGCTAGACATGTGGGTGCAACTGATTGGAACGAACGTAGTTCTCGTAGTCATACTGTCTTTACCATGGTATGTGTTTCTTTAACTTATTCTTCAAATTTTCTTTTTAAAAACTGATTCATGTGTTTCATTCAGACAATCGAATCTAGACCTAAAGATCCAGATGAATTAAATCAAATCGGAATGCAAATCTCACAATTGAATTTAATTGATTTAGCAGGATCTGAATCAGCAGCCAGTTCGATTGAAAGACGTAAAGAAGGATCATTTATCAACAAATCATTATTATCACTTTCAAATGTGATTTCAAAATTAGCCAAATCAGAACCACACGTACCTTTTCGTGATAGTAAGTTGACAAGATTACTTCAAACCAGTTTAGCCGGGAATGCAAAAGTTGTGGTGATCTGTGCTGTTTCGGCTAATAATGAGAGTGTAGCTGAAACATTAAGTACATTGAGGTTTGCAAGAAGAGCTAAGATGGTTATCACTAAGGCTGAAAGAGGAACGATTCTGGATGATAAATCGGCACTTTTACAGTCTTATCAACAAGAAATCAAGTTACTTAAAGCTCAACTTTTGAACAACTCTCAAGCTCTTTCTTTAAGTAACCTTGGATCATCTGGATCACTTGATGATCAAATCGAATTGGAAAAATCAAAGGTGCAATCTGATGTTGCTGAACTACAACTTGAACGGATCCGATTACAAGAACAAATCGAACATTTAAATCGTCGAATCTTGACACGTAATACGATTCAATCTAATGTTAGACGATCAAGTTTGAGTATTTCTCAAGTGACACCTATTCATGAAGTGGAAGAATCAGCTACTAATCTTGGACGTCGACAGAGACGTGGTAGATTGACTGATTTTGGTGGATTGGTTAGTCATGGTGGTAATCTTGGTGGTGGGATCTTTAATGTAGGATTAAGAGCATCACTTTTACCTAATATGTTGAGTGTTTCAAAAGAAATCGAACTTGAAAAACAAATTTCGAAATTGAAAGTCGAGAATGAAGAAAAAGATAATCAATTGAAGGTGATGAAAGAACGTGAAAGTGAAGGTGTTTCGAATCAAGACGTTATCAAGGATGAGGTTGAGAGTTTGAAGAAAGAAATTCAAAGGATTCATGATGAAAGAATCAGTTCTGTTGAAAGTTTAAAGGAAGAAATCAAGTTGAAGGAAAAAGAAATTGAAAAGTATCAAGTTGAATTAGTGAGCAAAACAGAAGAATTTCAAACCCGTTTAGAAGTTTCCAACACCAACACTTCTGAAGTAGAACATTTACGATCCGAATTGATGATGGCTCAAAAGACAATCATGGAATTAAAACAAACTCAAGACGATCAACTTGGGTTTGAAAAAGAGTTTAGAGAGATGGAAATCAAGTTGAACCGAGTTGAAAAGAAATATTCAAATGAACGAAACAAGGCTCAAGAAATCCAATTTGAATTAATGCAAATCACTCAATCACGTGACGAATTGGAAAACCAAATGAAGGGAAGATTAGAGGAATTTGATCGGCTTGAGAAGGAGTTGGTTGAGCTTAGGGAAAGATTTGAGAAGGAAAAAGAAGGGAAAGAAGAGGTTGAAGTGAGTAAAAAGGTGATTGAGGAGATTAAGAATGAGAATCAATTATTGAAGGATGAGGTGGATTTGTTGAAGGGTTTGGTTCAAGGGAAAGAAACTACGGTGATGCAGGAAAAGATCAAGTTGGAAGAAGAGATGAAGGGGTTGAAGGAATTGAATGAAGGACGTGAAAAGAGCAACTTAGAGGAAAAGAATAGATTAGAGAAAGAGTTGGTTGGATTGAAAGAATTGTTGGAAGAGAAAGAAATGGTGATGGGTCAAGAGAAAGAACAAGTTGGATTGGATTTAGTAGAGCTTAGAAAATCGACGGAGGAAAAGGATAGGGAAAGGATTGGATTGGAGATGGAGATGGAAAAGATGAAAGAAATCGTTTTGAAGCAGGAGAATGATATGGTTGTAGAGAGAAAGAGATTGGAAGAGGAAGGGGAACGGATGAGACGCTTGATGAAAGAGGAAGAAGAAAAGGTTAAGTTGGAGAAGGAAAGTTTTCAGAAGGAGTTGCAAGAGTTGAAAGAGTTGATGGATCAGAAAGAGAGCGAAAGGAGTCAGTTAGAGGATCAAGTTAAAGAGTTGAAAGGATTGGCTGATGGACAAAGCGGTGTGATGGTAGCAGAGAATGAGAGATTAGATAAGGAGATTACTAAACTGAAAGACTTACTGGACGAATCTTCGATGGAAAAGACTCGACTGAAAGAAGAACTAGAAAGAAGGGAAAGTGATCGGATCAAGTCGAAAGATCTTTCATCTAAATTAAGTGCTTCGGAACATCAAGTAAGAAAAACTCAAGAAGAAATTAAAGGGATTGAAGAGATGATGAAGAAGCTTAGGAAAGAAAATGAAGAAGCGCATCTCAGTGGTAGATTACAGGATCGAGAAGTTGAAAGACTTGGTAGAGAGTTAAGTGAGATGAAACGGATCAAAGAAAACATTCAAATGGAATTAGAAACTAAAAAGTTTGAAGTGCAATCTAAACATAAACAAGAAGATGTCAAAGAAATCGAAAGCCTTAAAAGTTCAGAAACAAAGTTGATAAAAAAATTAAATACATTAGAACTTCAAATAGAACAAGAAGAAGTAAAGAAAGTAGAAAGTAGGCAAAAGATTGGGAAACTTGAATGTTTGTGTCATGAACAAGAACAAGAAATCCAACGATTGATTCAAAAAGTTCAAAGTAGTAGTAGTAGTGGAAGGAATCAAGAAGTGGTTTCGAATCAGTGTGAAAATATTCATTCTAGATCTGAAGATGAGATTGAAAGATTGAATTTGATTATAGAAGAACAGAAAAGGATGTTAAGTGATGCAAAGAGTGATATGGCTAAATGGCAAGGAGTAAGTCTTTTCTCCCCCAAAAAAAAAGATCGGATTTGAAAAGTTTTTGGTTAATCTGGTTTTGGTTTTGGGTTTTCTTTTAGCATCTTAAAGCACAACAAGCAATAATTTCTAAAATCCAAGGAAATCATCATTCCAATCAAATGAATATGCCTGAAGAAGTGATAGGAAACTTACCTAGATCTTCTTTATCGATGAGTACGAGTATGTACCGAACTGGATCGAAATCGTCTGCTCCTCCTGCGAGTACGAGTAGTAGTACGAGTTATTATCAAAATACATCTTCACCTTTATTAGGAAACCAAACATCTTCTCTTGGAAACCAAACACCTTTGTTGGGAAATAGTACATCTTATTCTAATAGGAATAGTCCTAGACCTTTACCTGTGCCTGATAGTTTTGAAGATCGGGATGAAGAATGGAGACGTCGAAAGAATAGAAGAAAGACTATTGAGGAAGATATGGCTAAGTTACGAGATGAGAATGTAGTTGAAAGGAAAAGGTAAGAAAAACGAACCAAACCATCAAGAAATTTCTTCTAATGGGTTTTTGAATTTCTTATAAACTGATGATGATTTTTTTGGGGGGGTTCTTAGGAATGTTTTAATGTCTTCTTCTCCTAAGAATTTGAATTCGAAACATCATCAAAAACCGATTAGGAATTTATCTGGTTTAAGTAGTCGAGCAAACCGATTGAATAGTTTTAATTCATTGGATTCTAATCATCGTCATGAAGAACCGGTTCCTCCTTTACCTACTTCGAAAGTAAATCATTTGAATAATAAATCTAAAGAATAGATTAAATTGGTTTGGAAGTTTTGAATTTTTTGGGAGTTTGTTTGGAAGTTTTTTTGGGGTGAAAAGAGAGGTTTTCTTGAAGTAGTATAAAGGGTTTGGGTTACATAGGTGTTTAAAAAATAGATTAAAGAGTGAAAGAATGGGTTTTTTTTGTAGCATGACATTGATACATCATGAAAGGTTTTTTCTTTCTTATACACACTTTTCTCTTGTGTGAATTTCTTTCTTATACAATTTTCTCTTGTGAATTTGTTTTGTTTTGTGCTTTTTTTTATCACATCATCGTTCTTTTTGGTTTTTTGTTTGGCTTCATCTTGGATAAAAGTTCTAGATTTTTGTTTGCTTTTTTTTGTTGTTTTGCTTTTTGGTTTTTGGTACAACATCAATGAAAAAAAATCTGAATGGTTTTGATAATCGTTTTGATGTTTATATGGGTGTGTGGGTTTTTTTTGAATGATTTGGATTTGGATTTTATTAGAGTCTTTTTCTTTGAAATCAAGAGATTGATGTTAGGCTTGATGGATCTTGTGGTACGTTTTCATGGGGTTAGGTATCACTTGAGATGTTAAATTTGGTAAAACAAACTCTGACTCTTCGAGGCTTGTGCCTTTTCTGGGCCCATAACGTAGGTAAGAAAGTGGGTCAAAATATGACCAAGTTAAGAGGGCCTTTGAACATGCCAATGGGCAATGAGTTTGAGAAGAGCTTACATTATGTGGGGTTTCTGTGTGGTTTGGAACAATTGCTTTTGGATGATGATTGAAAATTATCAGGCCCGATGATAATTTTTGAGTGTAGGTTCTTCGAGCTCAAAACTCAATAAACAAGATAACATGTCTGGGATATGACAATTGAAACAAGTTGGATATAACAATCATAGCAAGTTGGATATAGAGTTTGAACAAGTTGTGAGGCACTTTGGAGCGGACTGTGGGCAATGAGGCTGTGAATGATATTGTTAGGCATGTCATAGAGCATAGTAATTGGCATTGGTGTGAAATAATGTAAAGGAACATGAGTCTGCTACAAGTGATAGGTTTACAAGATGGTATCGTGATACAATAACAAGTGAGAATAATAAAAAGCATTTTCAGGTCTGATAACACGAGATTGAACAAGTAAGTCTACATTAGACTATGACAAGCCTATGAGTCTACAATGGTATAATAAACAACAAGGTGACAAGGAATAAAATAAGAAATTAATTATACACTTGACGAAGAAAATGCTTATTGAGCATGACCGTTGGCGTGGGCAGAAGCATCAACATCGGCTTCAACTCCAGCACCGATTTTACCAGATGATTGAGCACCAGTAGCAGAGTGTTGACGAACACCTGCTTCGAATCCTGCTTCTACACCAGCATTGAATTGTTGGTTTTCACCAAAGAGAGCAGATGCACCTTTTTCAACATTAACGTTTCCTGATGCAGCAGCTTTGATACCAGCTTGAAGACCGATTTGTTGACCAGCTGAATAATCAGAGTTGTGTTCAATTGATCCACCGGCTAATTGAGAAACGCCGGCTGCAAGGTTTTGACGTCCTGAAGCGTTGGCAGAGGTAGATGCTCCAGCACCAAGTTGAGCACTTTGTCCGGCGTTGACGCCGGCTTGGACACCTGCTCCTCGGTTGGCTCCGACTTGTACGTTCTTTTGAAGGTGAGCATCGAATCCAGCTTGAACACCAGCATTGAATTGTTGGTTTTGTCCGAAGAGAGCGGAGGGGCCTTGACTAGCTTTTAAACCACCAGCAGCTGCGGCCTCAATTCCAGCGCGTTGACCAGCTTCGAAGTCCACACCTTGACCAGCTTGAACACCGGCATTTGCACCAACCGAGGCACCAGCAGCCTGACCAGCTTGAACACCAGCATTTGCACCAATTGAGGCGCCAGCAGCCTGATGTTGGGAACCTTGAGCAGCTCGTACACTGGCACTTTGAGTAGCCCCCGTTTCGAAACCGGCATGAACACCAGCGTTGAATTCTTGGTTTCCGCCCAAGATCGATGAAGGTGGTTGTTGGCCTGCGATTCCGACTTGCGAGTTAAGACTTTGTCGAACAGCAGATTGGAAACCAGCTAATTGACCTTGAACGTAATCACGTGAATGGCTATTGTTGATCCCTGGAGCGGTAGAAGTGTGTTGGACTACTGCAGCTTGAAATCCCATTTGAACTCCTTTGTTGAAGTTCGGATCGTTGGTGAGAAGGTTGGAAGGAGCGACAGTTTGACCACCAGCTGCTGAGCTATGAATGCCAAGACCGGCCTTGAAACCTACAACCTGACCGTCACTGAATCCGCCAGTAGGAATAGTTACATCTGCGACATTTTGGCGAGAAGCAGGAGCGGTGGCGGTGTTCTGGAGCTGGCCATTCGAAGTCGAGTTGGTCATCTTGGATGATTGATCATTGGGTGACCCAGTAACTGGCGCTTGGTTGTTGCCTGTGGCAGATTGGCTTTGGTGGACCGCAGGCACGTTGGTACCGTTGGTTTTCTTGGGTGTCATGTCCGAATCCTTGGATGGCATTTCTTCACTCTTTGATGGCATTTCGGTGTCATCGGAATCCTCAGGGGTCTCGGTGGATTGAGTGGCTTTCTCAGTGGCCGCCGCTGGGGAAGCAGTAGAGCCTTGAGGAGTGTAAGGAGTGCTACTAGGTGATTGTTGATTGGTGTACGGGTTAAGAGATCTGGATTGGTAAGAACCGGCTCTGTAACAAATTGATCGAATTAGTTAAGGTTAATTATTCTGAATGTTATTTAAAAATCCTCACCTGGACATAGGTTGGGAGCTAGGTAAGACTGCTGCATCGATGGTAGCTGTGATGGAAAAAGGTATCAATATCATGAACAAGAATAAATAAAGAGGTAGAAAACTTACAAGTCAAAATACCAGCGGCACCAACGGCAACGTAAGCAAAACGCATCTTGAAAATATTCAGGGATATATGTAAAAAAAAATGAAAGTTTCAAAAGAGAAGTAAAAGGACAAGTAAAGTTTGAAGAATTTGTAGGAAAAAAGTGTTGTATAAATGCAGTGAAGAAAAAGTGAAAAGTTTTATAAGCGCGAAAAAGTTGGGTATGTTGGTATCTTGATGGTCGAGTGTCGATTGTCGGATGTCGGACTTGATGAGTCTGTGGTGAATGAAGCAAGAGGTTTGTCGCTTCTTATATATGATAGAATTGATAAGTTTACCTTGCGACATGGAAGTCGGAATGGAAAATTACAAGGTCAGGCTCAATAAGAAAAAGCAGACTGGTCAAGTTGTAAGTTGACTGCTCGTCGTGACTGGAGCTTGATATCATTTTTGCAGCGAGCATCCGTTTCCGATGATCAAAGAAGCTCATCATCAGCCTTGTAAAATAGCTGGTCAAGAAATTGTCAATGTCAGTCAAACTAGCACTGGGAAGACCGATAAGAAGAGTCAACAAATGTATGATGAATTTGGAGGGCAAAAAGATGTTTGACCATCTGGTTGAGAGTATCCTATCGGCCTTGCTTCGTAAACTGGTCTTTTTGAATCGCCACCTCGAAGAGCTGAAAGCTGTACATCAAAAAATCCGTTTTTATCTTTAGGTTGATCTCGAGAATCCAGCCTGGGTAATATGCTGCAGAGAACACATCGATATTATTGCTGGCTCTCCACATCTGCTTGAAACCCTCCGCCTTGCAGCTGGACTGGTAGTACATAATCTGTGGTGGTCCTAGACTGTTTCATAAATTGGTATGTTCATGATCCTCGAATCATTCATTACAAAATTCTCAGAAACAATACAAACCGTAAGGCAAAAGTGATACTATCTCCTTTGCCAGCAATTATAGAGTTCGTCCATCTGGATGATGTAGTGCGAATCTTTGCCTCTAAACCACCATACATACCAGCCTGACTGATATGATTCCACTGCAGATGATCTTTAGAACAAAAACTTTTGAAAATCCATTCAGTCATTTCAATCGAGTCCTTCGCATAAATCTGATCAAAGAGAGGAAAACTTGAACGCAAAGGCATGTTCACTAGGAGCTATACTTTTACCAACAGAGCGCCTGACATGAATGATTGAAATGATCAAAAGTAGTCCAAACCTGTTACCTCACGTCAAGTCAAACCTTATAGAGTTCCAAGATTGCTGATATATTAAAAACATTTCATCTGATAGGAGCTTCGCCGAGAACATATTAATCATAATAAGCTCGTAGAGAAATCAAAAGTGCATTCCAATGCGAAATAATCGGTATTTAGACACCAGAACGTAAGGAAAGATCAACAAGATGAAAGATACAGAATTGATATATTGTTACATGACCAGTTCGCAAACGACAGGTAGATAAGAGACATACAAGAGCATCAATCATGAAATATACAATGATAAAAAATCAATAGTGAAATAATTGACTTCGAGATAAGAATGATGCTAAAGAGATGAGACCATATAGGAAAATTACTGAGGAGATTTTGAAGCTGCTCGTTTAAGAGCAGCTGCTGCCGCAGCTTGTTTGGGGTCCGTGGGTTGTTCTATTTCTTCAGCCTCTAAATCGTTCAGTTGATGACCAGGGGCGTTCAAAGGGTTTGAGGTGGTAGTCCGAGGTGAAGTTGAGCAATGATAACTGATATCTTGCTCAGGTTGATAATGATGCCCTAGATCACCACCAAGTCGATGAGAGGAGGCAAGAAGCAGACGGTCGTGTGCTAACATCATTCGATTAATTGATGAATCGAGTTCCTTGAAGTCATTTCTGCAAAAAAAAGCCAATGAGTAAGTGAAAAAGTGAACACACACCTCATCAACGGATTACATTGAGATAGAAATGTGCAAAAGTGTAGTGTAAGAGTGATAGACTGACAGATGAGGTCCAAATCGATTGTGGGCTAGCTCGTGACAAAGTACTCTTCTGACCATCGCATAAGATCTGAGCCCGTCCAATCGATCCGTAAGTAATCTGAGTTTAATTGATTGTCCGCTATTCTCATTGACACCTAAGATTGTAGGATGAATCACAGGATGTAATTCACCAAGATGAACGACGGTGAATTGATGTTCGACCATCACTTTCTTCACAGATGGATCTGATGCAAGTCTTTCTAAAAGCTCTCGACGTTCGGTTTCGAATTCTGGATTAGGTAAAGTTTCAATTCGATAAAATCGAAAAGGAGTTTGATTTCTTTCAGGTGTAGTTCGAAGAGTGATGGGTTTAATACTTGCTGCTAGTTTTGCTGCAGCACGTTTTTGTTTTAGAATCTCATGATCTTCAGTTTTTTGTACGTCTTCTAATGATGAGGTCACCAATAAGATCTTGTAGTGTTTGTCTTCGAAACCAAGAGATTGAAGTGTTTTTGAGTCATCTGAACCAGGAGAGCTTAGAGTGTTCTTTCTACCCTTGATGATTAGTTTGAATAGAGTTGATGATGATAAATTGGATCCGATGATAGAATGACAAAGTTGATAGAGTGTAGTTTGAAGTAAGATTGAATGATGATAGGTTGATATCTTGTTGTGTGATATGGTTAATGAAACTGAAGCTTCTTCTTTTTCTTGATCAGTCATCGTTTGGTTAAATAAGTAAGCTGAAGGGTTGAAAGTCAAAAAGAAAACTTGATATCTATATGGGATGCTCTATAAACCCATACTCTCAATACATGTAATCCCATATTGACGTCATCGACTGAAAAAACAGATCAGACTTCTCACATCAGCTCACCATCATCAGATCCTCTTCCCATACAACATTCCTCGTCAGTTAACTGGCAGCATGAATCAGAACTCCAAGGAACAACCTTCATCTGGATCTAACATCTTTGGAGATCAAGTTCTACTCACTACTTCACCATTGAACTTACAAACCGTGGTAGATCAAATCTCTGGTCCCACAGTCGGTGCAAAGGCCATCTTCATTGGAACCACTCGAGATTCTTTTCAAGGCTCGCCTTAATCTTCTGACTGACCAATACCAAAAAACCACTCAATCCTCATTACCCTCTCTTTTCTATGCAGGACGTACGGTTACTTATCTCTCTTACGAATCTTATGCTTCATTAGCTATCAAAACAATCCTCGAAATAATCAAAGAAGCACGAAACCATAATGCTTCAACCCTTCAAGCAAATGACTCAAAAATCGTCATTCATCATATCTTAGGTGAATGTCCAATCGGTGAAACTAGTATTATCATTGGTGTTTCATCAGCTCAAAGACTTGGAGCATTTGAACTTTGTCAAAACTTACTAGAACGTGTTAAAAAAGACGTTCAAATTTGGAAACGAGAATACTATGCCGATGGTGGAGATCCTTGTTGGAAAGAAAACTTTCCTACTATAACTCTTTAATCTAAGAACGTTTCATCCTCTTGATTCTTCTTTCTTAAAGATCTCCGGTCTCCGGGTTTATGTTTTGTGTTTAAAAAAATAAGCTGTGACTTGACGAAACCCCGAAGAGTATGACGTCATTTATGTACCTATTGTAATTGATGAGGTGTTCACAGTCCAGAGAAATCATGTGTCTATCGCTGCGACCGTTGAACTCTCAAATAGCGGTGAAAAATCAAAAGGCAAAATTTCATGCTATGGCTTGTATGGTTTTGAAATCGACGTGGTGTTGCTTTCGGTGACTTCAAAGCTCAAAGGTTTTTGTAAAGATGAATGCAAATATCGGGTAAGCTAAGCAATCCACCAACAGAGGTGCATGGTTTTGCAGACCATATTGAAATTGACATTGTTACAGTGGACATTCTACATTGCTTTCCACTCATTACTTCATATTGGCATCTTAGGGGGGGGGGGTGTGATAGTGTGTATTTATCACGTGTATGCATTTCATATGAGATCTTATGTTGTGTCCTGTGCAAACCTAAGACTCTCTATGTGAAAGTTTTTTAGGTTTCTTGGGGGTGCCCCTCCGCCGGGACGGCTGAGGGGGTGCAGGACAACCGGGTCACGTAGGTGGGAAGCTCTGAATCCGAAACTCTTTAAGTTGATCGCTTACTTTGCCTTTCCCCCGGCTACAGCGTTGTCTCTCTCATCAGGCCGCCTATCATCCCTTCCAACGTCTCTGCGCCAATGCTCGTTTCCCCCGTTCAGTCTTCTACGCTGGGGGGACCGCTCTCTACCGGGTTGGTTTCCATGCCAGCTCCCTCGGCGACCTCTGAATCGACTCGAGCGGGAGTCCGGTCGTTTATCTTCCCAGGCTGCCGGTGCTGAGCCTCCGGGTCCTTCGTACACGGGTAAGGTTGTAAATGAGTTCTGGTGTGAGAAACTTTGGGAGCGGTGGGTTGGCTTATTGAACGAGGTTCCATTACTGGTCTGGTTTCTAGAGTCAACTCCTGAGATTGGATCGATAGTTGCTTTAACTTCCCCGTCTGCGTACGGGTTAATCTCTTTGAATGCTGGCTGGAAGTCTTTCAGGCGTTCGGTTTCACGTATGGCTTCTCTTTCTAAACGGCCGTCCCGGATCGAAGGATTTGCAACTGAGCCGTCTGAAAGTCGAAAGGTCATCACCGCGGTTCTCACTGCCAAGTCATACCGGAACGCGACTGGCCAGTTGGAGTTTTCACGTTTAATGGCGAAAACGTTTTCTTTGTGAGTCTTGAACTTCGCTGCCAGCTCCTTCCATTTATAATGCTCAAGATAGGATATGAACAAGTCGAAAGCTACTACCCACTCGCCGAAGGTCATCTTCCACTCTAGAGGGACTGTTAGACCGATGTACGTATCTTCCAACTTCTCCTTCACTGAACGCTTCCTGATTGACTGTTGCAATAAATCTTGTCGCAGCCATTGTGTATTGAACACTGACAGGGGGATGTACGCGTCCAGAGCCACCATCTTCGCGGAAAAGTACTTTGACAGAGCAACTAGACCATGGGATTCAATTCCCTCGTTAGAGAATTTGATTGCACCCGCTTTCTCAGATGTGGTCTCTGGGTCATCGGCTGTTAGGTCGACTCGTACCACTGGTGCGGTGCGTTTCTTTCTCGCTGGCTCGCTCTGTTGCTCTCCGTTAGTCGGGAACAAGGCTGGATTGATGGGCAAGGTGTTTGCGGTAGGGTTCGGCATTACTGTCGGGTGCTGGTCTTGCACAGGCGGTTGGGTGCTCTGTCCTTCTGCTGCCGGCGAAATCTTGAGGCCTTTGGACTCAAGCCAGGATCTGATTGCTTCTGGCGACATTTCGTCAATCCGGTTCAGGATTCCTCGTGTTTCGCCCGCTGAGAGCCTGCCGACGTTTTCGTTGGATACCACGTTGGCTGATAGGGGTCAAATGTCATGCTCGTGTCAGTTCCTTCCCTTCGTTTCGATTCTCTCTTTCGAGGCATCACTCAATGGTGGGAATGGTTTTGATTGGGTTCATCGCTCAAAGCGGCATCACTTCAGTGGATGTGGGCAGGGCTTACAGGACTTCTCTCTGGCCGCATTACCATTTACTATCTCGGGTGAGATCAGGCTCGACAGGTCGCTTCGACGTGATCCTCCGGTAAGGCTCGGGTCGAGATTAGACTTGTGTCTTTGTCTTGAGCCTAGTTCGACGCTCTCTGATTGCTCGTGGGAGGATGCGTCCTGTCTGTCACGGCGCTCCGCTTCCGGTTGCTTGTCCGTGTTGTTAGAGCTCGCGTCTCTGTTGCTTGGTGGCTGGTTCTCCGAGGGTTGAGTTGTGCCTTCCTTGGACTGGGGCCCGCCTTCGGGGGTTTCTTGTGCAGCTGCACCGCTTCGAGTCGTTGTGCCAGTTGGAGGTGTGTTCTTGTTCGCACCTTGGCCTTTCTTCCCGCCTTGACCTCTCTTCCTTCCTTGAGTAGCTGATGATGTCCCTTGGCTAGTCGGATTGTCGCCTTCCGGGTTGGCTTGGTGTGTGGTTGACGTGTTGTCCAAAGTCCCGTCTTGCGTCTGCGCCTCAGGAGGGGAGGCGGATCCATTTCTCAGTCTGTCGCTGCTTCGCTTCACTTGGGCGTCAAATTGGTCAATTTCACGTTTGGCAGACATCTAATTCTGTTACTGATTCGTGTTGTGACATAGACTTCAAGTGGGAATGGGCTATCAATGGAAGAAAAAAAAAATTTGTGGGAAATTTTCAGCTCTTGAAGCTGTAAAACTAAGATAGCCAAATGAGCGATGCGTTGAGAAATGTGAGATATCTAGGGGGAGAAGTAATTGGCGCAATGGGAGGGGAAGCGTGAAAATCTTTTCACACTGAGACCCTGAATGTAGCGCCATTGTACAGGTTCTCTCGATATAGAGATAATCACCTGATTCTCCCCTGTAGAGGCATATGCGCGTACCGTGGAAATAGGTGGTACCGTCGTGCCTTTGGGTACCACCTTCCATGAATGCCAAATTTAGTGCTATGAGAGCATCCGCACTCGTGCGGCAAATCGAGTGCGGTAAGTGTAAATTTACTTCAACGGCGGGGCTTATTCCACACCGGGAGCAAAGTAGACCCGCGGTACATAATTTTAAGGTTGATTTGAAGTAAGACAGAAGTAAATATAATCATAGCCTACCTCGTACTTTATCTCAAGTAACTACTTGGGTCCGGTAGCTTTCCGACTCGAATCAACCTCCATCTCACTCAACAATATTCATACACACCACAATCTGACCGATGGAACCCAAAGAATCGAAATCTTGCAAGCCACGCGCTCCGAACTGGACACCAAAAGAAGAGCAGCAATTGGCCATGTCTTGGATACATGTCTCTTCCGAACCGGAGATAGGAACTAATCAATCCTCCGAGATGCTCTTCAAGAAGGTTGCCGATCACTTCAACTCAAAGATTGACCTCCATCAACGTGATTGGGAGCAAGTCCAAACCTGGTGAGTTGAGTATGTTGTCTACTGAGTCATATACAATGGCTCATTGTTGTTTCTTGAAGCTGGAACTCTCTCCGAACCTCCACACTTAAGTTTTCTAGTTGCTACGCTAAGATCGAACGAGCTCCCCGAAGCGGTAGAAAGTCTCTTCGTCATATGCTGGGTTTGGGGAGAGGTAGTCGGCAAAAAGTTGGGCATTTGCTGCTTCTCTATCCCTATGTACCATTTTTTTCTTTGGTCGTTCATTTTCATTGTCTTGATCTGAATTATCATCTGAACTTGAATCTTGACTCCACTATGCGAGCTCCTCCCTGAAAAATTCTCTTGTTCTTTTGAGGTGTCTTGAGAAAAATGTGCTTTCTGGCATTCTGGATCGCAAAATTTACTAGTCTTACTTCTGTGTTTTACAAATTTACAAACTTTTCACCGCTGTGGGTTTTGTACAGTATAGGTGAAGTAACTAATGATACATGGCAGATACTGGACACGAGTGTGATAATTGTACATAATTAGTAAATTTTAACTTACCGTACAGGTCGGTACCACAAAAGTTACCGAAACGTACCACAAACGAGTGCGGGTGCTCTGAGTCCTACATTTTGGATTTTCTGCACAGCTAGGGGAGTCCCCACGTACGGCTCGTGCGAGGCGGCAGAAAGTCTGATTTCAACCCTGATGTATTAAGAAACTGAAGCATATCAATGAGCAGATCTTGCTACAAATGGCCCTCGACTGCGGCTGAGTTCTGGCTCAGATATCTTCTCAGTCTTTGTATCCCAATAAGCTTTGACTTCGCGAGGATTTCTTCGATGCTAAACCTCGGATCTTCCGTCTCTTGACCCCCTGTCATCCTGCTTGAATTTGGCCGCCAGACTTATTCAAGCTTAGTGACATGGACTGTTATGTTTTCAATTTCGTGCACAGCTGGGGAATGATCTGATCTTACTACATACATCCCTCGGCTGCGGATGAGCTCCAATGCCGTCTTTATCCTCGACGAGCTTCATGTACTGCGATTTCTGTGATGGTCAAGGCTGTATCAAAGCTGGGCATTTTCTTCGTATTGCTCGTTAGATCGTTGAATTCTGCCCCCGTCGTAGCTAGGCCTTTTGTTCGAAATACTTTCCATATACTCGTCCTTCATCAGCAAATAGCCGCACAAAGGGTTGATATTAAATTGGTCTTTCTGATCATTACAAAAAGCGCCCGCAAGAGAGTGATTTAAACTGCACTCGTTTTGCTATTGAAGATCGAACTGCACTTCACAGTAAAAGATTTTACATCTAAGTGGGAATAGGTGCGATTTGTTGGTGTCACTATTCCTATTCTAGCCCTTGAAGCAAATTTTTATGGTCTCATATATTTCCTATATAATCAGGATTTCATTGTTCTGATCCATAAGAGGACACAACATCGCAAGCGATCAACTTGAAAAGGATGATGTTTCCAATCCTGAGAGGATGTGACAATCAAGGGTTCCTCATGTTTACGATGCTTCTCATGGTCATCAAAAATATGTCAGTCGTGGGGCTCCCAACTCTCCCGAAAGGTATCAATACCGGACAAGGAGTAGCAGAACATCTCATTGAAGACATGAATGGAGCCAACGAAGGAACGCACCGCGACGTTGTTCCTCATATGCAAAAGCAAGATCGCCATCAGGACCTTCAATTCGACTCACAGGCAAGAGAGAATGAAAAGGTACCAAATCACAAAGATGAATCTTCTTCATCTGCTCACGAAGATAAAGATACCTTGCCTTCAGGTACGAACACAGTGGCCTTCAATGGAGACTTGCCATCTGTTGCTGATGATGAAAATGGCCAAAACATTTAAGAAGAAATCACAGCTAGCTCCGTAAAGAAAGAAGAGGATGTTGAAATTCCTGATACCGTAGGAAATTTTGACAGGGTCATCGAACCGTTCAAAATGGATTCTGCTCCTATCAAGGTCGCAAAATGGAAAAGCCGTGAAACCGGATTGAGTGTAGTCTGGGCTGACATTGACGGTGTGTCGACCTATCGTCTCTTACAGGCACTCGCTGAACCTGACCATGATTTTTCCTCACATTGGCAGGTCCAATTGTCAATGGCTATTTGACCGGTACGTTTTTATATCGACATCTGTTGCCTGCGTTCCGTGACTAAAGCAATGAGATGGCCTATCCAGTTGCTACGGAGATCTTCAATGATTCCGGGGTTCCCCATACCCTTGAGCATCTCATATTTATGGGATCAGAAAAGTGGGTGAACAATTTGATTGGGTTATCCACAAAATCCCTCTAACTCCTTTCTTCTCATAGATATCCCTACAAAGGAATTCTTGCCAGTCTAGCCAACAGGTCTTTTGCTACGGGAATAAATGCATGGACTGAAACTACTCACACAGCCTACACAGTTAAAACTGCTGGATCAGAGGGGTTTTTTAAGTTATTACCCAGTATGCAGTTTCATCCCATCTATAAATTCAGAACAGCAAACTCAATGAAGAACTTGTCCCTTTCAACTGAGCAGTCTACATCGACCACAGTGAGCTTTGCATTTCCTTGTCAAATAATTCTGGTCACTGTTGGAGATTCATTAACCCGTCCCCTTGTTTCCCTAGTTCTTTATGCAAAGATCCCTTCTTCAGCATTCACAACTGAGGTGTACCACATCAATGGAGAGGGTGAAGATGCTGGAGTGGTTTACTCTGAGATGCAAGGACGTGAGAATAGTAGCACCGACTTGATGAGTCTTCGGTACGCATTTGATTGAGATATCATGTTGCACAGGGCATTTTGCTGATTTCATAATCGTATACTGATACATGTCAGTTCTCTTCGCGAGATCTACCCGCCTACAAGTGCATATCAGAGTGAGACTAGTGGTAAGATGGCCGCATTGCGAACACTGACAGTTGAACAAAGTGAAGAATTTCCCTGAATATGAAATGCTTGGAATAGATTGCTCATCATTGTTGTTGATCCTTAGTTCGCAAATATCACAGCGATTATTATCATCCGCACAACTTACAACTGCTCGTCACTGGGAAAGTTGACCCCACAACGCTTTTGAGTGTCTTACAAGAAGAAGTGGAGCCGTCCCTAATCAAACACGGACAAGACAAGTTTCCTGCGGAATGGAAGCGGCCGTTCTTGGAGACCGCTAGTAAGGGTGGGGCAGTTTTGACGAAAGACAAGGTAGTGGAGGTACCATTTCCTGAGAAAGATGAGAGTACGGGGCAAGTCCAAATCAGCTGGGTGGGACCAAGCATAAATGTAAATACCTGCTTTCCAAGCTTGTCTGCCTTGTTCAGATCTGAGCTCTTTGAATCGTATCTCAACCTATCTACTCTTATTCGTCAGGACTACTTGCTCCAAGATGCTTTAAAGATTTTGGAAACTTATCTCACTAAGACGGCCATATCTCCCCTGGCAAAAAAGTTCATTGGTGAGGAATTTGAATCTGTCTCAACATCATTTCAAAGTTACTGATTCTCCTTTTGTCTTCCTTCTAGATATTGAGGACCCGCTCTGCACTGGTATACTTAGATCAAGATTTTGTCACAGTTGACATTTTACCCTAGCTGATATGTTGAATTTTTTTCTGCTGTCCTTTTGTATGTCCAGGTATAACTTTTTATCCAACCGAAGGTGAAAAAACAGTGATTTCGGCCTGCATCTCAAGTGTTCCTGCTGAACATTTATCAGACTTTGGTAAAATGTTCAAAGATGCACTTGCTCATGAAGCCGAGAATCTTGATATGCAACGTATGCGGATGACTATTGAGTGTGATGCTCTAGAAATTGCCAATCAACTTGAAGCAAATGCGCATAGTATACTTTCGTCAGCTATCATCTCCAACTTCCTGTATGGGTCAGGTGAACAACTCGTGGCCGATCTTTCCACAGTACTTGAACGTTACAAGACTTTAGCCAGCTGGTCTAGGGAGCAGTGGTCTTCCATGTTCAAAAAGTTTGTGTTTCCAAACCCGCACACAATAAAACTGCAACTGATGAGATCCGTATGTCTTTTTCCGTTTTGAACATAGATGGCTTGTGGAGAGTCCTAGTGTCACTGTGATTGGAAAACCTTCAGGAAAGCTTGCAGACCAGTTAGTCGCCGATAACAAAGCCAGAATTGAAGAAACCAAAAAGAAGTATGGGCCTGAGGGTCTGAAACAGCTGCAAGCAAAATTGGAAGCCGCTCAAAAAACAAACGATACTCCTCATCCTCAAACAATTCTGTCCAACTATCCCATTCCCAAGATGGAAAGTATCAAATGGATTGAAGTTGAGTCTGCCCGTGCTGATGGATCCTTGAAGGGTGACCTGCAGGCTCAGATAGACAAGAAAGATTCCACAATCTTACCGTACTTCATCCAATTTGACCGTTAGTATTCATTGTTGTTGTGCATCAGGCGCTTGAAAACTGATCTCTTTTTACAATACTGTCTATGTAACACTTGATAGATATTGATTCCAACTTCCTTAGAATCTCTGTCCACTTGTCCCCTACCGACTTGCCAGCTGACCTCGTCAAGTATCTCTACATCTGGCTTGCTTTGTTTTTCTCCTTGCCGGTCAAGAGATCCGATGGCACCTTGCTTCCATTTGATCAAGTTGTCAAGGAGCTCACCAAGGAAACCATTGAGTATAAGACACACATGGGAAGCTCAATTAGTCAGACTTCAGAAATCTGTTTCAAGATTGAGAAAAGCAAATACCCAACGATGATAGGCTGGCTGAAGGATCTCCTCTGGGGAAGCCAATTTGATATAGACCGGTGAGTTCTGCTTGTCCAACCATAAGACCATATTTACTGACATAGTGCAATTCTGGCTCAGTCTTCGGATCATTGTTGCCAATAATTTACAACACATTCCATCAATGAAAAGAAGCGGAGCGGGTGTCTGTGCCGCATTATTCCAAGAACTTCTGTATTCACCTTACACAGCACCATACATGTCAAGTAATTTGTTCAAATTAGATGAATGGCTACCAGAAATTATGGAACAGCTCAAGTCCAACCCTCAAGAAGTCATCAAAAATTTGGAGCAATTACGCAAGCACTGTGAGCTGTCTTCCTTGCTTGTCATAACACGTGGGAGCTGAGGCAGATCATCCCCTATCTCTTCTCATACTTTAACAGTGTTGCAACCTTCTACTATGCGTCTCAGTGTTGTGGGAGACATAAAAACTCTGCAGGATCCCAAGAAAAGCTGGTTGGAGCATTTCCAGAAGATTCCGGTATGACCTAGCTCCTTTCAAGTCCACTTTATTACTTGTCTTACCATTTTCCCACACCACACAGTCATCAACATTGAGACCGCCACTGTACAGTAGTGATGTCCTCAGTGCTGATGGTCTTAAACCATCTGGTAAAGCAATTGTGATGAGCATGCCCTCAATTGAGTCCAGCTTTGCTTATCATGTTGCCAAAGGTACATAAACTCAATGGGGTTGAGATGTCTTTGCTTGTTACTCATATACTGATATCAATCATTGGACATTTCAGGGGCTCAGGGTTTCAATCATCCAGATCGACCGGCTTTGGCAGTAGCTGTCAGTCTGCTTAATTCAATGGAAAGTCACCTGTGGAAAGCTATCAGAGGAACAGGTCTTGCGTATGGCGCTTCCATGCGGTCAATCCCAGAATCTGGGCATGTTTGTGTCCAGATTTATTCCAGTCCTGATAGCTGGAAGGCTTTTGAGGAAGCTGGTAAAGTAATGAGTGACTTGATCAGCAAAAAGGTGATTCTACCTCTAGATATTTCATCTTTCTTGTCCTGGATTTACCAACAGGTTTTGTTTTCTTTATACTTGCTCCGCTTTCACAGCTCATATTGGATGAGCTATCACTAGAGGCAGCTAAGAGCAGCCTGGCATACGCTACTGCAGAACTAGAATCAACCATGGGTAGTGCGGTAAGCTGAGCTTCTTTCCATCACATTTGCAAATATATCACATCATGAATCTGGATTCCAATGATGAGTTTTTGTAGGCATTCTCAACCTTCACAAACATGGCACTCAAGGGGATTGAGAAGGATGCATCAAGACAACTCCTAGACAAAACTAAGGTGAGGAAACTATCTTGATCTCAAAATCACATCTATCTTTGGTATCAGGCGGCTTACAAGATCAATTATGCCAGGATATCACCATTGATCAAGTTTTGGAAGTGATAGAGAAATACTTCCTACCAATCTTTGATGCACAAACCTCAGTTGCTGTGGTCACCAGTTCACCTGGCAAGGCAAAAAGTACTGCTGCTAGCCTCAGAAACGCTGGATATAGAGTTGAGGAAAGGGACTTGAATGTTGCATCACAGTAAGACAGTGAGAAGGATAGCATACCACCTGTAAGGTGTCATCTTACATTACACATGTGACAGTTGCACATTGTCTAGTTCCTAAATTAGAACTAGACTACAGTCTTTATTATTCTTATTCTTCTGTTATATCTTTTTGGTTCATCACTTGTTTGTTCTACTTAGAGTTCAGGATATGATCTTCTATTGAGCTATGCCTAGTTTTTTTCCAAAATCTATTCTTTGGGTCTACATAGTCATGTTTTGACATCAGCCTTTTTTGGGATCCATTGTAGTTCCCTTGAGGAAATTCTGTCACCTTTATACATATATAGGTTCTTTGGCATGTGGTATGTTTTTGTGTAACATATAGAGGTTGGGAAAACAGAATTATCACCCTTATCAATAGATTTCACCTTAGTTGGGCAATATACTATACAACAACATATAGGTTATCATACATATAGAGTACTTCTTTGTGATCTTGAAAGGCTATCCCGCTTCAAGAGCACATGATCATTGATGTGGCACACAAGATTGATGCTTGGGAAATTTGTCCACAAAGATAGATTTACAACAACAGCAATTCAATAGGAGAGTGAGTATCTTAAGTTTGAGCTCTGAAGTGTAACTGGTTTTCCTTGTAAGCCAGTGGATGGCAACACTTCATTTCAATTTGAGAAGGGTATATAGCAAGGCTCAGCATATATAATTTGCAGTTTTTGGTGATCTGTGATGGAGGCACCCATATTTGAGCCTAACTTGACCCCTTGTAGTAGATGATCCAGTCTTTGCCAAGGTTGTTCACTCCAATTGGTCTAAAACCAAGCTTGATGCCAATGACTTGACCACTGAATAGGGTATGTAGAGTAAATAATCACATCCAAGAGAAATTGTTTGTCCATTGTTGAGAAGATAAGTGAAACCTGAAGTCCAAGAATCATTGAGATTGCAACTAGCGGTGAAGTGTTGGAATGTGGGCTTTTGACCTGTATTGTGTGTGTTTTGTAAATGGCAAGACCTGTTGGCTGCAAATCACACCAAATCACAATCCATCAAGTAGCCTGGGTATTTTTCCTGAGGACCCAAAACGAATCAATGAATTTATGGCTATCTTTGAGTCAATATCTCTAAGGTGGTAAATTATGTGGGACCAGAGAGAGTACATTTGTTTCTCAAAAATCATGTGTCATGGAACCATAAATCAGCAGAGTTTGATTCATGTTGCACAAGTAACTTTGCATTTCAAGAATTGGCCCACTTTATTGCTCTTACACATCACCCTTCATAATTTCTCCAAGCCCTGCAAACTTATTTACTGGAGATATACATATATCAGAGTCAATCACATCTTCATTTCGGAACCCCACTGAGGACTGGCATTTTTTATGTGTGAAAATGCCAGTTCTATCACCGAAATACAAGTTACATTTTCAAGATAATCTTGAAACAAACTCGCCAACTGGTTGGTTGGATTAAGACTTGTTTAATGAATTGTCCGATGTTTTTTGATCTGAGAGCCACCGTAGTGCTGGTATCATTGTTTGTTGCAAAGCTTGCACCACTTCAATGAGTTCAACAGGAAGGCAGAGACTTGGGCTGATGAATGTATGTGTCTCTGATCTTTGATGAGAAGTGTGACGCTAGGTGACGATGAATTTTTGGTATATCAATGAATGGGGTTACGGGGATTTGAACCCAGGATTGCTATTGATATGTGATCTCCTCCAACGAGAAAACCCGGGTGTATGATTGGCCAATGGGTATGGGTTTAGACAGGCCCAACCAGAGCTCTAGTTCGCCATTTATCGGTTGGTTGCCCTTTACCGTCATCATCAACTTTATCGGCTTGGAGCTTCACAATATGGGTGACATCGAACGTCGACCACCGATCTTCATGGGATCATTCTTTCTTGGACATCCTCGATCTGATTACAAACCTTACGATCACAAATCAGCTCTCACAGCTGCTGCCAAAGCTGGAACTTACACCGGGGTCAGTCAGCTACCGATTCACTTTTCGAACTTCAAAGCTGGTTCAGCCCTTTGAATTTAACTTCATCCTACGGATTTGAAATAGCTCGCAGGCTCAATAGTTAGTGCTATTCACCATGGAGTCATTTCTCCGGTCGAAGGTTACAAGGGTTACTTTGCAAACGTGACAAAATTTACTGCTATGGCTGGTAAGTGATCAATCTTGGTGACAGACGAAGGGCATATCTCGACCATTTGGCTAAACATACATCCTTCGGTTTAGCTGCGGTGGGATTCACATATGGAGGCGTATCTGAGACAGTGGCTGGGTTGAGTAGCATATTGATCAAAATTAGAAAGACGGATCAACATCAATTGATTCGTGACTGCTTTTTATCTCATCCGGATGCTCATTTTACAGATTGCGAGATGAGAATGATCCTTGGAATGCAGCTGCTGGAGGCTGTGCTGCTGGTTTTATTCTTGGTGTACGAGCTGGACACCTACCGATGGTAAGAACTTTGAACTTATGAATGAACTCATCACAGTAGTCCAAGACCTCCCCAATCCATAAACTGACATATATATTATCCTCATATTTTTTCAACTAGGCTCTTGGAAACTGTGCACTGTGGGGTACAGCCGCTGGAGGGTTCAATTATGCTGGTGCTACTCTTATACCAGCTCATATTCGATTATCAAAAGCTGAGCAACAAGCAATGCGACTTGAGATTTTGGGAGAGCCCAAGAACCCTTTATCTACGCAATGAATCTCTTGACTTCTCTCTTACATCCTCTTATCCCTTGAGTAATATTCTGTTTGAGAGTATTCGGAGCCTCGCCTTCTCTGATGAGTCTCGCACTCAAGATCTTCCTATTTGACAGGTCACCGATTTACCTTATGCATTTGCGGGCTGTTTGACTTCTCCCTCCGCTAACTCATAAGAATCTTCGAGACGTCACATGAAACTTGAAGCACCGCTTGAATAGGGTTCTTGATCCCAAATCACCATGTAGTTGTATATTTGTCAATTTTACCTTGCGTGGTAGTGAGCAAAAGACTGTGATTGTGGCCCAAACGACAAGGAACATTTCAGCCTGTCTTTACTTATTTGAGTGGGCCTGGCTAATGATAAAGGTATATGATTTGAATTGTGCTTTTGGCAACACGTCTCATGAAATTCTCAAGTGGCACATAATAGACGGAGCAAGAAGTTGCAACCTGAGATTGACGAGGAAAAGAAGAATGGAGATCCAATGAGCTCAAAAGTACAAGATGATGAACCTGACTAGGATGAGATTAACGTACCATAAGCTATAAATGACGTTGGTGCACAAAGTAGTATATCGTCCCGAATTCCCGAACTTGGTTGTTCTACATTTATATCCAAAAGGCCCATTCAATCTAAGTCAGAATGTTTGTATTCATACGTGGATGAGAAGCATCAAATCCGTCTACCTTTGTGAGGGCTTGCGACTTCAAGTCCATTTGCCTCAAGTACACGATCGCGAGAAGGATCCAGTCAGACCACTTGAAGCTGCATTATATACACAGGTAGCTGCCATCACTGATCGCTTGATACCAAGATCCCTTGTCTCACATCCGCATTGGACGTTCATGGTTTTCGCATCCATTGAAACCTATTGAAACCTGAAGCCTGGAGAACTTCGCATTTTTGTTTACGTAATATATACTTGATTGACGTATGGCAAATGCCATTTTACGCGATGAACGATTAGCCCGCTTGTTTCAATCATGGTTGATCAACTGGTTTTCGAACCACAAAAAGGAACTCTACCGACGGATTCATCGGACTCATGACGAGGTTCACAGAATGTTCTTCCCAGTTGTAACCACCTCCTCTTCAACATGAACAATTTCTTATTGTTCTTGTCTTTTGTTTTCGAAAAAGATTGAAACTTTTTTCCATTTTCTTCAATTTATCATATTACAATGCAATACAAAGATGAAAAATCGAAAAACCAAGAAACACATCAAAGAGTAAAAACCGATGATCAAGAAGAAGAAATTATTAAATGGAACAGAACTTCATATTGAAAAAAATAAAATGAATGATAAAGAAATACAACAACAAGATTCAACTTCAGATAACGAAGAAAAGGGAGCACAAAAAAGAAACCATTCCAAAAAAGAAAAAAGAACATCAACTTGAAACTTAAGACACCGATACATTTTCATCAGATAAAAGATCTTGAGGTAAAATAGGGGAAAGTTCAATATTTAAATTGGGAGAAATTAGACCAGAAGCAGAAGATGATAATTTAGGAGAATCTCTCCAATTAGATTGAGTACGATCAACTTCACCAGATCTACGAGTAGGAAAATGCATATTAGAATCTTTTTGTAAAGAAGTTCTTCTACCACCTGGAGGTGACCAAATTGTGGTAGTAGGTATAGGAGAATGATTTCTAGATCTAGGATTATGATGATTTGATGATTCCCAAACTACACCTATACCTAAACCAGATGGTATAGGAGTAGAAGAAACTCTCAACATTTTAGTGGTTAGATTATTAACTCCTAAAAATGATGATTCGGTAGCTTCTCTTCTCATCGATTTCGTACCTACTGCTCCTAAGTTTATACCAAAGGTTGGACTAACATTTGTTTGAGGTGATCGATTTGGTGTAGTTGAATTCGGGATCCATGTTGACATTGGTTGAATTAAATTGCTGTGTTCGAGTGATGGAGATACACTCGGTGTGGTTCTTGTTGATCTTGCGACAGCTAAATTGTTATTCGGTGGTACAACCATAGGACAGTTTAAGAAAGGACTAGGGATTGATTGAGGAATTGATTGAGGAATTGATTGAGGAATTGACTGATGTAATTGTTGAGCTGGCATATATTGTTGCTGCTGTTGTTGATTCTTCAAACTAGGTGTCGATAAACCAAAGGATTAGAAATTATTTTCACAAGATTTTACGAGGAAAGAACCAGAAAGGCAAACATACATAGATGGAGATCTAGCTGATGGATTGCTAGAAGCACCTTTAACAGGTGCTCCACCTGGTCCCGTAATATCTAAAGCAGCTAAACCTTTATTCGATCTTCCTAAAACATATTCTACCTTTTCACCATCTAATAAAGATTTAAATCCAGCATCACATCTTGTGATACAAGAATAATGTACAAAAACTTTTTCGATCAAAAGAAAATCAAACCAAAGAGAGAATAACCCGATTTTAGTTTTTGTATAAAACTGAAATAAGATTTGAAAAAAGGAAAAACGAAAGAAAGAAAACCAAACTATCTGTTCCTGGATCACCATCCATAGTAGGAAGTTCAGCAGGATTATCATCTTGAACTAAAAAAAATCAAAAGTAAAGAATTAATAAGTATAAGAGTGATTATCAAAGAAGTCATCCTGAATATAAAATGAAAACTACGAAACTGAAACCAAAGCCCTTTCCGGCATTAAAGAATTTACAAAACCCAGATCTTTTAGGTTGAGTTTGAACTTGAGGGGGTGGAACTTGTTGTAACGGAGGATTAGGAATAGTATAGGCGCTCATCATATGAGGAGAAAGAGCCGATGGATGATGCGGATGCGGGTGTGGGTGTGGATGAGCAAGATGATGTGGTGGTGGCGGTGGTTGCATCATCATTGGATGGGGAGCATAGGCTAACATGATAGGAGATTGTTGCGGTGGATGATGATGTCCATACATGGCTTGTGGTGGTAAACCTGTTGAAGGATTTAAAACAAATGTTGGACGTTCGTATGACATCTTGAATTCTTCTTTCTCAACGATATCTAGTTTACTGATGATAACTGCTTCCTTTATAAATTTGTTCTGATGTTGTGTTTATTTATTTTTGTTTATTTATTTGATTTAGAAAATGATCGACTCAGAAAGAGATATAGAAAAATTAAAAGGGTACTATTGCGTTTATTAAAAGTTTTTCAAAAAAATAAGGTAAGAAACGATGTGATGAATAAATGATAAATGTGTATATAAATCTTATAAGTTCTTTGGATGAATACGAGAAAATAATTCAAACAATTGATAAGTAGTTGCTGAGATTTATATCAATGAAAGCTTATCCAATATCATCATTCTTCAGCTTTTGCTCATACCCGTCATCCGTCGGTTTAAGGGACTACCAAACAGGGTTTAGACCATCAAGAAATGAAATTGATCTGATCACTATTTTACACCTCCATCGGTCCTGATTCACGATCAACTCTTTGAAGTTTCTATTTCATATTGTAGATTGACTACTAAAATCTCACTTTTATCAACTTTTTTTCCCTCTCACTTTCGAGCGATACCGGTTGATATTGGTATGCAATGGAAAGACAGGACACCAGGAAAGACTCAAGAGTTGATTAGGTTGGTATGTGTACATATACGTGATGATTCAATATGAGATTCAATTTCAAGTGACACTGATATACCATCACCATTTTGAATCAAGTTATGGTATTAAACTTCAAAATTAATGCGTGCAGATTCTGTGCAAGATACTTGAGTAGAACTGGCAAGGATCTTGCACCTCGTCTCGCACGGTTTTTGCGTGGGTTCTTGCGCCAGCTGAAACACAATGACTGGGGTTGTCAAAACAAATAAAGTGCAAGTTTGGCGCAAGAGATCTTGGAGGATTCTTGCAACGCTGGATGTTGCGCTGCGAAGCGTTGCAAGCCGTTGCGCCGCCTTGCAGTCGCCATGCAGAATTCTCAGTTCCTTGCAAGTATCAAATGTAGCGCAACGGAGATTTCTCCGTTGGGCAACAGCAACACACCTGAGCAGTGTAGTTTTTGGTATGAATCGCACTATATGGGGCCCGGTTTCTAACACCCGACACCCAATTTTCGAAACTCTAAGGGTTTGCAGCCCGGTTTGTTGAAACCGGGAGACTAACCGGGGAAAGTCTTTTTCAAACTGTCCTCACTCTCTCATGTTTTTGGCGCTAATACCACGAAAATCATAATGGATAGAAACTTTCCACTGTTCAAAAGACCACACAGTATTTTCATCCAAAAATTGATCTACAATCTGATCTTTCCTTTGCTTCAGTTTATCATCTGGTAGGCAAACCATATGATCTCTACTGTTCCAAACAAAGCCTATGTATTTCTGTTTGGCTTTGAAATCATAACTCTTGGCTGGATTTGTACCCAATGAATTACTAAGCAAAGTAATATCTTCAAGCAAAACTGATTGATTCAGTCTTTTTAAAATTAAATAGTCATCTACCCAGAGAATATTCTGGGCAGGTCAAAAATTTGCTCCATTATTACCTTCCACACATTTGCCGGCCCTCTAAGAACCCCACAGCACATTCCACCACCAAATCCAACTGCAAGGTCAACCCATAAAGACTCTGAAAATCTATAATAATCAAGAATTTCTGCTGGCTTGGCTGATTTGGTAATTGGCAAAATACCTTTTTCCAATCAAAGATTGCAAAAAGCCATTCACCAGGTTTTTTGACCAGAAAATGAGCCACTGTCTTGGAATCATCTCAATAGGTATCAAAATTGTGCTTGTCAACAAAGAAATTCACCTCTTTGTTCTTTGGGTAGGATAAGTCATTGATCAACCTAACCAATCCATCTCCATTTTTTGCACTCCCCATTGGATTTGAATGAAAGAAGCCAAGATTTTGGAATGATTCTTCATGTGTAAAAGGTCCCACCATTCTCCCCTCTTGAACATCATTTCAAATGATCTTCTTGATTTGTTCTTTGTTAGAGATTTTTAGAATTCATTGATTTGGTTCAAGACATTCATGTATCAGTTAAATTTCATCTGGTTGATGTTAGTAAGAAAAAGAGCCAGTAAGTGAGCAGGTTATGATTGAGATTTAGTTAGTTTAACTGATGATGCAGAACAATCACATGGAAGGAGTGATTGTCTTTCAAGTCCATTCAATATGAAGACTTTGGCTTGTAGCGTTGAGATGCTTATGCAGGGGTTGTCCACGTGTTGTTCTCTGTTTTTTTTGTTCTTGATTTTTATATGTACCACAACACATCACAACAATAGAAAATTTGACCCAAATGGGGCAACACATTGGGCAATGGTCCAATCCAATGTGTTGCCATACATTGCTCTCCAGTGGCTGTTGCTTTGTGTTGCCCAATGTTGCTTGCTGAGAGAAAAACAGGGGCCCAAAGTTGTCAAACACACTGGTGCCCAAAACCCCTCAACCTTTTGTAATTGATGCCTCTCAAAAGTTGATGCAGATATTGCTTATACACTTTTGAATCCACTCAGCTTCTGAAACCAAAACATCTTGTGTGTGTGTTCAAACACATTGGTGTTCTTTTGTTCTTTCTGCCTCAACAATATTTTACATACAACTTGCAACATCTTGGTCTTCTAATCACATCAAACCTATCCATTCTTGTACTCATATAAATAGTACCAAGCTGAAAAATTAAAGAATCCCTACACACCATCATTCACCTTGGTCTTGGTTTCTTGATGCTATAACTACACCCATAGAAAAATTGGACTATAATGAAAAAGCACATGAGATGATGGAGAATTTCCTGGGATGAAAGAAGTATTTAATAGGCAGGAAAAGGTCTTACAAGGTTTATTCAAGAAAAATGTTGTTGTTGGAATCGAAATTTCACAATCCTTGGATGTACTACCACCATCAAATGTATGCATGCTTTGTGTGGTATACTAATGTTCTGCAAGAAATTGTGACACTATGGTGGCCAAGTATATATTGAACATACAAGACTTCATGAATTTGGAATCATTGTACATTATAGTTTTGATAATCAGTGTGAATGCTAGAATTATAGATTGAACAAGGTAAACTTCCTTCAGACCAGAGAAAGGAATGTGTGGATTTGGAAGACACTGTCCTAAAACTGGAGATAGTAAATAAAAGGAGACAGTTGTGTCAGATCCCATCCACTTGACTCTTTTCAGATAGAACTATATAGAAATCGTGAGTGAAAATCTCACTTCAGGCTTCTAGATAGACATTGATTTAGTTCTGTTTCCACATATCACGGTCACCATCAACAGATTGTTTATCTAAAATGCCGTGTTACAAAGCTATTGTTTGGGAAGGCATGGTGCCAGGATTGAAACCAGTGGGGGAGAAATTTATTGGTAGATTGTTGGAGAGGTCTTAGAGCAAAAGTAGGGGCTAAAATCAGTTGATCAACATTTGCTGACATGATGACTTCAGAATGCAAGGGAAAGGACTGCCCAATAGTGAATTTAGGGACCATATGGATATCAAAGCCAGATACCAACTACACCTATGTGTTTGAGATTCCAAAAGAAGGCTGTCTGCAAGGAATAATGACTGAACCTTTCAACAAAAATCACACCTCTTTATTTTGCTGTACCAAATAGAGTTGTGACCATAAAATGTAGCATTCTATGTATCAAGTTTTTGAATTTGTGCAGAGATGTATGTTATTGAAGTAGACTTTACAATAAAGCACAGAAAGGTGGCGGGCAATTTTGTTGAGTAGGTGGGCCTACATATTCTCTACTTGTTTTGAACTCCAAGTTATACTGATAACAGTTGTCTGAAGCATAGGAAGAGTTTGATGATTCAAACAATCAGCTTTTAGCCTCAAATCCCACCAAAAAGTACTTTATAAAAATGATCAGATTTTGAATTTATTTTCCATTTTTTTTTTTTGGAAATCATTCTCCTAATCAAAATGTTTAGGTTTAGGGTTTACCACTCCATGTCAATATCCTTGTAGCACATCAATGAGCACACCCAAAGGTATTTCCTCAGATCCTGTAAAGACACATCAAAGAAGTACCACAACAGACACATCTTCCTCTTATCAACTGCAATTTTAACAGCTAGTTGACCCCAGCTGAAGACAAATGATTCCACAAATCCTATAAACAAATCACTACATTCACAAAGGAAACAATCCCAGTCTGAATCCAACCAAAACACTTTCAGATCTGTTTCAAAAGTCTCTCTGTGTGTGTGCATATCAACATGTTACAAGGATATATTGATATGTTACCAAGTCTTCTTAGACTTTTTCTAAAAGAATTTAACCATTGGAAAAGAATCAACTGTTTTCAAGAGATGTTAAGTTGTAGTGTTATACTGAAGAATTTCAAGATAGTAAAAGGAACAGACTAGATTAGGTCTGGTGTCATACATAGAGATTATTGGAACATCTATGTGAAGTTAAACATGACTGGATTAATGACCAGAACCTCATTCCTTGGATCCAAAGCCTTCCAAGGTCTGTTTGATGGTAGTATCATCATCACTCAAAACCAAATCAAACCAAAGAAAATTATGATGATCATCAAACATCATCTTGATCAGTCTTATCTGTATAATCATAATCCATTAACCTGAACAAAAGCTAAGCCTTTCATCAATTTGTAAGTTGTTTATTTGGCTTCCACTCTGGTTCTTGACCAGCACAAAATTGAGAAACACTGTTATGAAATTGTCAGATCTTGAAAGGAGCTGTTCCATATTGACATACCCATTCACATTTTATTCTTTGAATCAGGTTTGCCAGTTTTCCTCTCTACTCATCCACACAACAGAGATGGAGATCTTGACCAGTGTCTGTCCTTGTGGATGTAACACTAGATATGGCTTATGTTTTTCCACCTTTGACTGGCTCTAACTTTATGTTTTTGGACAGGGGTTGTTGCTCGATCCTAGTGGCTATCAGGAAGATGTGTTGATGCTCCGATGTTAAACGTTTGATCAGTTGTTACAAGGGCAAACTGTTGAGATTATCTACATCTTATCTTTA